AAGCAAGAGGAAAGAGGGGAACAGGAAGATTCGCAATGGCCCGGCCAACAACCCCCGGAACATGGACTCCAACCATCCGTACCCCATGTACATGAGTACCTCGGCACCCTTTATTGTACTTGATAAAAATCGGGGGGGGGGGTCGGGGTAGCGGGTGTTTCAATTTCAAAGGGAGGCCGTGGTCCCAAATGTAAAGCCCCCCCCCCCCCCCCCTTTTTGGGGACGCGCCGTCAACGGTTTAACCGCCCAAGGCAAGAAAAACATTAGGGTCCCCCCCCCCCCCCCCCGTGGGTCACAGGGTGAAGGGGGCCAAGAAAACCTGACTGCTGTGCCACGAGGGATCTCGTCAGCACCAGGGCTTACTCGGCTGACTCCGTAGTCCGACGATACCACCCTTACCCTTGCCGTGGCACTTGTCCGGTGCACGCCAACTTAGCATCTATGTCCACGGACGGCGCACTGGTACTGCTCCTCATATCACCCGCGTGGTGTTTGGGTAGGGTTTTGGGGAAATCAGGGGTAGGATCAGGGTATAAAACCGGGATGCAAAACAATAATGTGTGAAAGGACTGCTGCTGTGTCTTGCTGCCAACCAATTCTTCGGACAGAGTCGAACGGTCGCCTCCGCGACAAGGTGGTAGAATTAGTTACCACCATGAGGTTGGTTTATCCTCGTCGCGTGCAACAACACTGGAGGTGGGTTCCCCAGGAAAACTACAATGTGCGCCTGAGAATCGAAGATCTTACTAATATTAAGAGAGGCAAGGACCGTATGGGTAGGGGCGGTGAGCAAAAGGGATGGCCACGAAAATAAACATTCTTGGCTGCCGACACCACGCCAAGAGATAGTGAAAATCGATCGCCATTACACCGAGACCTCTTTTGATGCTGATATATATCCCGGGTCGTCTTCTTGCCAGACCCTCAAAGATACTGCCGCTCTTGACGCATTCGGCCCCGTGTCTACAATACATGCATACAGGCAGTACGAGGCTGTCGTTCTATTTGTCATGCACAAACACGAGACAAGTTCACACGTACGCATGTCAATCATACATATTATAGTAGTCCTGAGCGAAATTCGTGATGGGTCATGTAGTGTCATTTTTACCTTGCCTACCCGTGCTTGTACTGATCCTCCAGCAACATTAAACAGTAACGGCACCTCCCCAGCGGGGAACAGGATCAGCACGACACATTGGTAGTCATCTTGTGTACCGGGGTGCTGTTGTGTCGTGGCAACAGACATAAAAGATGGTTGCAAAGGTGGATGATGGAGTCGATTGTGGGTGCAACCACGTCACACACGCATCATGCAGCCAGCAGCAGCAGCAGTAGCGGCGGCAAGTGTCCCCTGTTGAGGTTGAGTTGAGATGCCCTTGTTGAGAATACGACGACACGGGTTTAGTAAAAAAAAGGAGTGTTCTGAACTTAACTCATGTCAACGGTGTGCATGGGTTACAGAAGAGGGGTGTGAAAAATACGGCGGACAAGCATGAAGTGTTCCTTGAACGCGGTTCAACGTCCGCCACCTCCCGGCACTGACGAAATCACGATCATCCCGAACGTTCGCAGGTAAGGTCAATTCCGAGCCGCATGTCCATCGCATGGGACGGACTGACTGTTCGTGGAAGCTCAGCGATTCTTCCCTCTCTTGAAGGATACGGATGTACGGCTCACTGATGCGGATCATACCTCAACCATTGTAGACCTGTTTCTACACGAGGGGACAATGTGTGTGTGTCTTCGTATGCTACACGACCTTTCGATATGGGGGCTGATGCAGCAGCGGTTTCCAGCCGCAAGAGTTGGAGCCGAACACACAGACACACAGGTCTGAACCTTGAAACCTACGCTACCGCAATGAACTAAAATAAAACCACGGATACAATCAATCCTTCCATCCCCAATTCTACAGCAGTTTCTTTCCCAGATTATGCGCGAGCCACCCACTAGGCGAGCACTGCTGTGAACAACACAAAACACACGGGGGTTTGTTGCGGCGAGAGAAAAAATACTGAACGCCACTGGTCCAAAAGAGAAGACAATCTATTCCCTTTTTCTTTATTTTTCTTAGTATGACACAACGAATCCATCTCTATCATAGAAATCTATTCCCTTTTAAACGTTGGCAACCAAGAGACCAAGACCAACGGGCGAGGTACTGCTGTACAGGCACACAGACAAAGATCCCGTTGGATGCATGTGTATTTGCACTAGACTCTAAAACACCAACACCGGCCGCTCATTTTCCGTGTACAAAATGGGCTGCTTTTTTGTGGAATGCGGTTGCGGCAGCAGCAGCGAAACTACGGTTGCTGATGTGGTTTGCCAAATTGCCAAAATCGTCGCTGTGCTCTTTACCTACATAGTTACTTGGTTTGTGAAACGATACCAACAAAATCCGGCAAGAGACAAAAGACTTCCAAAAGAAGCACATCCATTCGGACACCGTTTCCGAGACGTCGTGACGTGCCCGTCGCACGGAACGCCTGCTGTGCACAGCAGAACAGACCCTTTGGCTGCTGTGCGTGTGTCTCTTGGGTCTCTGCTGTGTGCCTTGTCGGGCACAACAGCAGAGACGATGAAAAAACGAGGACAGATGGATTCCCGACTCACAAATACTATTGTTCATTGTACACCCGGGATTGAAAAGTGAAACAGCAAAGTTAAACAGCAACGAAGCTCGGATGCTTAAGGCGACGCCAATTCCGACAGCACGCACGGTTCTCGTCTCTCCTCCCTTGCCCAACTGTATGCGCTCGTGAAGCTTACCACAAGGACAGATTTCTTTCCTCATGATCCGTGGCAAGCAGCGGTAGCAACGTATGTGTAAAGAGGCGTGGAACGCATGCATGCAGATATGGACACCTTGGTAGGTTGTAGTCCAGATGGGAACCCAATTTCCTTCGCTCTTCGCTCCATGCAGGGGAGAAGAAAAACCTGCGGCAGACACGAACTAGCTGGGTCTCGTTGTACAGTGGCAGTGCAGTGCACCCATGGGTCTCTCTCTCTCTCTCTCTCTCTCTCTCTCTCTCTCTCTCTCTCTCTACCTCTCTCTCGTTCTCATCTCTCTCTTCGCCCCCCTCTCACCTCATTGTTGCCGGTGCCGGTGCCAGCTACAATTGCATCAGAAGGACCAGGCCGGGAAATCTCCTCCCCACTCATGAAACCGAGAGCTTGCTCCGCCGCCACCGACCGCGGCTTGCTTCTGCTGATCAGTCCAGGTCACCCGCTCTGCGATACAGGCCCCCCTCCTTTCTCCGTGCTCGTCGCTCCAAACCCCTCTCGCCAGCAGCAGCGCACTCTAGGCTGGGGGCTGCACCAGGTGGAGTGTGATCCAACAGGGCAACAAGCCAACCTTTCCTCTTTGCTGTCTCCTCCTCCTTCGTCTTTTGCGCCCTCGAGAGCCCGGAGACCACGTGTGCTGGGGGTGTCCACGCACAAGCCCACGACGAACCCAGCCGTTGGTACGAAACTTGTTGAGTCGTTGATGGTCCAGCAGCACCCAACACGCGTTCTTCTCTCCGCACACCCTCTCTCCAGGGCCAGCGTGTGTGCCGAAGGTGCACTACATTTCGGAACAACATTTTTTTTTTTCCCATAGTATGTACGGGGTATGGACTATTTTCCTCCGCTGTCTGTGTACCCCCCTCAAGTTGGTCCGGGGGCGCCGTTGCGCCGGGCGCGGGTCGTGCAACTCACCGTCAGCAGAGAGCGATACACTGGCATCATGAAAAGGGTCTTAGCATGTCTGCTCGTCACCTCTGCAGCCACAGGCGGGATGGCGTTTCAGCTGATGGCATCCAGCAGCAGCAGTAGAGCCCCTACTCAGATGAAAGCATCTGCGTCCGAGAGTGTCTCTCGGCGAGCGCTTTTGGAGAAAGCAAGGTGCGCTCAGCACGTGCTCACGTGTAGAGGTATTCTCATGGCTTGTGCGCATGTGGCAACGAGACACGGATGTGCTTGCCTTGTCTAGCCTTGACCACTACTAGCCTTGACTACCAATTTACAATGAATCGTGTGCGCATGTTTTGACCAACATGACAATTCAAACGGCGTAACCCCGCAAGTGATCTGTGCAACTCATCAGCGCGTGGCTACAGCAGCGGCGGGTGGATGTTTGTGTTGCCCTTTGTTGAGGAGAAATCCGCCGGAGTTATATACTCTTTCGAGCACTTACGTATTGAGTGCTTGTTTCTTTTTGATGAGATGCCAACCCGTGTGGTCCAAAGGGCGGTTAAGTGACGCAGCAGGCCGGTACTTGTACCCGTCAGTATATTTGGTGGACACCCATTCATGTTTATCTTTTTCTTCATTATTGTTTTGCGAGAGGGTCATTTCTCTCTCTTTGTGTGCAATGCCAATGTCACCTGTGCTTGCTGCAACTATTTAGCCGGTGATCGACGTTACCGCCTTTCGAGGTTGTTACCTACCGGTAATTACCGCCACTTGGGTTTTTCCCTACAAGGCTCAAATCGATAGACAAGCACCGCCGTGGTACGTAGGATGTGGTTGATGCGAAACACAGCACATAGCACAAGCTTGAGGGGGGGGGGGCGAGGTACTCATAGTCGTGCATGCCGTAGTCGTTATACCATTGACCTCGCATCCCTACAAAGCCGGGACGGAGCACGCCGGGTTCTCACCGGACCAGGCTCTCACATCACCAAGCGCGAAGCGCCGTGAGGTATATGGCGAGTCGCATGAAGGGTGCGCTGCATCCTGCTAAAAGGGTGTTCGGCATCTTGTGCTTCCTTGCGTACGGATGACAGCTGCGTATGACTTAATTTATTTTCTGGTGCTTTTACTTCCGGAGACAGTTATAAGCACTGTGTAACTGCCTCGAGGATGCTTGACCATTTTAACACAGCGTGGTGCGATCATCCCCCTTGCGCGGAGTGAGGGTTCTCGACCCCGCACAACATGATCTACTCGACCACCATTGTGGTTACCGCAAAAAAAAAAAGGCAAAGAAATACCCGGTAACCTGGTTGCCGAGTCCACAAAGTGAATTGGCTTGTTTTATAACGTCGTTGCCAAGCGACGAAAACCCAATCCCGATGGCAAACACCGGGGGGGGGGCTTGTTTTACAACGTCGTTGCCAAGCGACGAGAACCCAACCCCGACGGCAAACAGCTTGAGGGGGGAACAAGAAAAAAAACTCCGCACAGCCCCGAATGGCACGATTTCTCTTTTCAACAAAGGGACCCGACACTGTAATTGGGAACCAACCGGGTAGAGGAGTACGTGCAGCGTGTTTTCCCAGGTGGCGACGACATCTGTGGGATGCCTATTTGCATGTGATGGCATGCCGCCGGATGGTGCGCACCCTTCTGAACCAGGGGTGCGGGCAGCGCCGGATAGAGGCGCTTCTGACAAAACGCCGAGTTTACTCCGACTTGATGGCCAAGAGCAAGGACTATTTACGTGCGAGATGCAACAATCTCCTGGTCCTTCTCTTTCCCCCCCTCTTCCCCTTCTTCTATACATGTCCCGGCCTCTTGTTTTTTTTACAAATGAACACCTCCACTTATCGAACTCCTCCCCCGCGCTCCTTTTGGCTCCGCCGCTTCGTCGCTTACTTCCTTCTTTTTCTTCGCGTGTGCGGCGGTCGATAAAAATCGACGCACGGCGGTGATGCGCGTGTCCGTCTCTTGCGGCGACGGCGGTGATCTTGCAGCGTGGCTGCCGTGGCGGGGGCCGTGGCGTTGACCGGTGTTGCGGGAGAGGCATCGGCCGGCACCGCTCGACCGTCGGCCAGGAACTTGGCGGAAACCTCGATAGAGGTGAGGTGAATGAAAGGCGCAACCCGAGCCTCTCTTCTTGTTATTATGTAATTCGAAGTACGTTACATACTGGCGTCGCCCGTTTGATCTGGGTCACAGCCGTTCGAGGTGTGCGTGTAAGTGTGTGTGTGTGTGTGTTTGTTTTCTTAGTTAGGGTCGACTGCGCTAACCGGCTGACCAATGAAAAGACTTCAGTCTTACGAAGCGGGATATTATACACGAACCCTTGCTCATCAAAGGATAAGGGTCCTACTGACATGGGGGGCGCAGGACTTGGAAGAATAGTGTGTGTGTGCGTGCGTGTTCCTTTCACTAGCGTCGACCGCGCGTACCGGGTGACCAATGGTAAAGACGTCTGCCTTTTCTGTGTGTTTCATCCCATTTTTTTTCTTTTATGATTCATGCTTGCACGTATTGGTGTGTTTCCCGACCCACCCGCCGGGGTTACACGCAAAAGCGGATCGTCAAGTAGCCTTGTGGCTGAATTCCCAACCAAAGCTGAGAGGCTTGCTTGGCAGGAGGGAGCTCTCACTCTTGTGGTCACAAATTGCTGCTTCGATGGCGATGTTACTATTGCTTATTGTTCTCTTCCGTTGTTGAACGGCGATGGGGGGGTTGTTTGCACGATCTATTGCGGCCTTTACCTGAGAACGAGGCGTGTGGTGTGTCTGACCTTAAGAAAAGAACGCCCGCTGATTGGGCAGAAGGGTCGAACGTAAGGTGAGTCGACGCGAAACTGCTTCTGCTGTGGAGGATGCCTCCCAGATATTGTTGTGGGCTGTGCACTCGCTACAATAGTTGTCTGGATCAGCCCAAAAGAGACAGTCTATGCTTGGATGGAGTTCCAGCTCTGACGCATTGTGTTCTCGAGAGAGTAGGTAAAAACCCAGGAAAAAGTCAGAAGAAGAAGGAAGCAATATACTTGGAACTAAAACTGGTGTACCCGTCTTCAGGAAGGAAACAGAATACGAAAAATCATCAGAAATATGCCGCATGTAGCACCGGTTAACACTTTCCTTTTTGGGAGCGCTCCACGGCTGCTGCTACTGCTGCGAGTAGAGGTGGACGGAACTGTATGCTTCGGAAAGAGGGGATGAGTGGTCAACGGTGCGCCAGACGTCAGAGGGGTGCGAGCTGCCACCGAGTCGTCAATGTTTTGTTTGTTTGCTTCGTCCTTGCTTTTTCTTTGCGTGCTTTTGTCGGCAGCTCAATGGAAGCGGGCAGCAGCCCATCGCGGTCTCTGTCCTTTACCCGAAGCAGTGGACCGTCACCAAGACTGCAGGTATTAAATAGCACGCCTCGCCCGTATGTGCCGGTGCCTCTGTTGCTGTAGCATCGAACGCGCTGAACGGCTGACCAATGAAAATACGCCAGTCTCAGTGCGGATAAAATTGGAAAACACTGCTTCTTCTAAAGGCCGTAATCTGGTATGCCGTGCGGGGGGGGGGCATGCAGGAGGCTAGGATATTCTCCGGATGTGACTGAGTGTGTTTTTTTGTTATTATCATCGACCGCGCTCACGTCTTGACCAACGAAAAGACGCCAGTCTTGTGGGTGTGTTTTTTTGCTTTTGCGTTGTGTTGTGTTGTCTCGCGATGTGGCAACAGGTGTTGTTGAGGGCGATTATTCTCTAGTAGTAGTCCCCAATGCCTGGACCGATCTCTACGGGTCCATCACATGTTCGACGCCGCTCACGCTGGGGCTAAGCGAAGACGGCAGGTTGGGCGTGATACCAAAGGCCGATGGCCACCTTCATGGCACAAAGACTGATCGCTGACATTCTGCCCGATCTTCGCTCCGATTTTGACACCATGGTAGAAATCCAGTGACCCACCCCATCACTCCGCCCCGCCCACAGGGAAGAGCATCAACATTCAGGACATGAAGTACACGGACAGGGCGTTTTCTCTTGCGATGCCGCTGCCTAGCGGCACGAAGAGCGTGGGTGACATCCCCTTGTCGTTCTTCACGGACGCCTTGTTCAGCTTGGATGTAAGTTTGGCCAATGCATAATGGGGGGGGGGGAGGGCACGAAAAGGGGCAGAGTGAAAGAGACACAGAGGTGAGGTAGGCATAGAGAGGGGTCAACGGGGAAGGAGAGACAAGAAAGACGTACATAGTCGCACGCAAGACACGTAGGTCCCGGTATTCGTGCGGTGTTTTGAGAAGAGAGGGATAGCCACAAAAGGAAAAGGACAGAAGTGGTGGCCGATAAACCCCGGGGGCACTTGAACAAAGGCTGTCGTTTCGTGGTGAAAACACGTGTCTAATGAACAGAAAAGAAAAGGGACAGAACAGGGCGGCCTACCCCGCCAGCAGAACACCAGGAACAACAAACTCGCGCTACATGGCGTGCTTTCGATCGGCTGGGCTGAGCATGCTCCCGCGGCCGTGCCACACTTGAAATCGCCACTCGTGTTCGTTCCTTTCAAATCGTGTCCGGTGATGGCCGTTTTCTGCCCCATGCCGCTAAGGATGAAGTACACGCCGCAGAGTCAAAGGGCTCATTTAGCGTAACTGTCAACGTGCTGCGTCAGTCAAAGCGAGATTCATTGCATTTCGTGCGTGCGTGGTGGCTCTTCTCTTCTTGTGTCCGTGAGGTGTGTGTACGCTCTTCGTGTGGTACCCGTTCGCCTCGCGGCTGTGTGCATCATGTTTCCTTCTGCTTCGTACTGCTGCTTGTGTCCTCTGCTTGAATGAAAGGGGCCCTACGGCACCTTTGGCAAGGTTGACGACTTCAAGGTCATCGGGGCTAAGTCAGAGGCCAAGGGGAAGCGGGACTACAGGCGAGGCTCCGGCGTGGTGGTGGCGATGTTGATGTTGTTCCCCTCTACCGTAACTTGCTCTTGTTGTTGACCTTGTCGGCGGTGGCGAAGGTGGCGGAGCCGTCGCAGTCGATCTTGACGTATGTACATAGGTGTTGATCTTACACATGGTTGAGGCGCAGTGGTTGCTGGCGAGGTGGGTGTGGCTCTGGTGGTTGTTTCTGGGACGCGCATTCTCTCTGACCCCCATCCTCCTTGTCTGGCTCCCCCCGCTCTGTTCGTGATCGAACCGTTTCCCTTTCGTCGCCGCTTCTGATACTGCCGGTTTCTGCTGCCCCTGCAGGTATGTAGACCTCAAGTTCTCGGCGCCAACTCAGGGGTTATTGCAGGTGAGAATCCCCACTGGGAGCGTTTTTTTTCTGGTGATTCCGGGCGCGAAAGCTGCAGCAAATGCCGAACCATGATTAACCTGTCAATTCACGAATTTGTTTGCTGCTCAAGTAGAAGTATTGATGTTTTGATTTTGCTTTGGCTCCCTGTCGGGAGTTTCAAAATTGATCCTCGCTTTGTTGCGATGCGCGCGGTGGGTGTTCAAAAATGTATATATGCTCCTTGCGTTGAGCCACTCAGGAATGCGTTTCTTTTAGCATCACAGGATGTCGACGGCAGTGTTCGAATTCCGTGACACAGAGCGATTGCGACGAAGCAGGACGGCCGTGTCGTCGATTCCGCCGTTTTTCTTGTCGAAAGAGAGGCGCATATATCCTTGGCTGGGCCAGTGTTCAGCCACTTTGTGAGGAGAAATCAGCCACTTTATGAGGAGAAAGAGCGACGGCGTTGCGCTCTGCACCGGGCGGATGGGACGGGATGATGAGAACCGTTCAACGTTTTTGGCAAGGTCTTTCAAAGACGGCGGCGGCGGCGGCGGCGGTGGCGGCGGCGAGAGTAGCGGATAACTCTTCTGTAGCAGCACCCTATCGTTACCTCGTGGTGACGAGTGGTCTGGGTGGAGAGTGCACCACCTGTTCTTGGAGTTGCGGTTCATAGGTGCCCCCCCCCCCCCCCCCCCCTATTTTCTCTTGGCCCCGGGACGAAACGCTTTCGACGGAGTACCTCACACGCCTCGGGGCTCGTCCGAGTCTGTCGAGAAGGACGAAAAAATATCCACTGATGCTGTTTCGCTTTTCCCCACCGTTTTCTTCTACTGCCATCTCATTCGCACGCTTTCAGTGGGCCTCCTACAGAATTTTCCGGCCCCCCTTTCCCGCTTGCTCATCACGGGTACAATAGGTTTTAGGCTTGACACTATCCAAGAACAAACCAAAACATTATCGAGCCCAAACCGGACCCGCAGGTGGAGAAAAGGGGTTGCGTGGCGAACGACGATCGTCAACGGTGACGTTGTGCTGTTCACGGCGAGCGTGCTGGCTTCTTCGGTGGCCGAAGATCTCTCCCATCGTAGCGGAAATGATCGTAAGTTCGCGAGAGTTCTAGCAGAGCCAATGATCACTCGCCACCACCGCGGTCAAAAGCTGTCCCTCCGCTATGTGTTGTAGATTTTTTTTTTTTTATCTTCGGGCGTCACGTGTACTACACGTCACGCGCTAGGCACAATCATCCCCCGGCGGTGCAGAGGGTAGTGGAGACCCGTGCGTTGTTTGGGTGAATGGAGCAATCGTCGTGCCGCAAAGCGAATCTGACACAATCAGGTTTTGATCCAGCGTTGTACCCGCCGCCGCCGCCGCCGCCGCCGCCGCCATCTCCGCCGGTTGGCCTTTTGGTGTGTTCCCTCCCCATTCGGTCTCTGATTCTAGTGTCCGTCGCCGGCCTCTATTTGTGCAGATATCTCACCCCCCCCCCCCCCCCCTAATCCTGCTTGCATTCCT